TACAAATCAGCCCTCGCTAGCATGCTCTGCCAGAGCAGTGTAGGCAACCCCTAAATCATGAGTGGCCAAACTTACTGACCCTCCGAGCCACATACGATAATCTTCAGAAGTTTGAGAGCTGCAAGACACTCACAACCTGGCCCGTGGGGCGGCGCCTGCCATGGCACGCACCTGGCTGAAGCCCCGAGGCCTGCCCTCCCCCCTGCGTGGGGTTAAAGCCCCGAGACTCCCCTCCCTGCAGAGAAGAAGCCCCTAGCCCACCACCCTGCCGCAGGGCAGAAGCCCAAGCTCCCTCTCTCCATCTTGTAGGTGGAGAATGGGGGAGGGGGGGGAAAAGAGAGTGGTGGGGGCTTCGTGAACAGCACTTTAACTGTAAAAGAGCTGCATGTGGCTTGCGAGCCACAGTTTGGCCACACCTGCCCTAAATCAATGCAACTGGTTAATCTTGCTCCTTAAATTTTGAATTATATGTACTACAGATTAGTTAAGAAAAAGCTACAATTTTTAATTTAGTGTAAAACACGGTCAACTCATAAATATTCACCCACAAATGTGGAATGGGGTAATTATTCAGAATATTTATTTTTCCCCAATACAATTTCACACAAATTACCAGTCTTAGAAATGTATTACTTTCCTAGCTATTACAGAAACTGTACTATATCAATGATATCTATAAAAATACAAATCAAGTTCCCCATTTTCAACTACTGTCAGCTGCTTCAGCAGAGCAGCACAACCGAACTTAAAACAGCAAAAACCCATTCCGCTACTTGCCTCCCCAGCAGGGGTTGTGACTGCAAAGCCTGAGAACTAATACTAGCTCTTCTCCTCCTTTCTCTTCAAAAACCACACTGGGAACAATCATCTGTGACAGATTTAACTTAAACTTTTTTTAAAATCAATCTTCAAATATTTATATCTCTGCACTTCTATTAGGGCAAATATACATAACAATTTTCAAGACTGCAAAATAATTTCTTCTTCCCCAGAAAACAATCAGACACTCAAATAGTAGTATCTCAGCATGGTTCCTGTGTAGTACACGTGCATTATGTTCCTGTGAAGTTCACAAGTGTGCCATCCTGACAATACTGCACCTGCCTTCCTGGGAAAACCATCATGGCCTGCTAATCTTTTCTACAAAACAAATTTCTGGGTGGTACTCCCTAGAAAGCAGTCTTGCTTTATTCTTCCATCTTGTGCCCAACATGACCTCTTATCCAAACAGACTTTAAAAAAAAATAAATAAAGACATTGCTGGGTACAGCAAACCATAGGATCAGATGCGAAAACCACACAGCTGCAAGCATTCTTTTGGGAACCCAGCATTGGAGTTCATCTCAATCGCTTAATGTAATTACAAAAGTCAGTCATGTAGTAGTAATGTAATTTGCACATTTCTGCAGCTGAAGTGAAGTTCAATCTTTATGAGAGACTGAGTAAAAGGCAGGGGTCCTGCTGCCACACTATTCCACCACATTAGTACCAAATGACAAGCATTTTGCTTTTGTTTATCCTCCAAGATGCATTAATTAGGAAATCTATATAACCCACCCTCTCTTTCCAGTTTTAAAATGTTTTACTTTATCTTTATATGGATTCTTGATTATCAAGAACTTGACAAGTATAATAGCCAACATCTAATATTCATGTGCATAATGTATTTGTACAGAGGCTTGCACATATTTGTATGCTATGAAGTGTCATACCAATCAGTTGTCAGAGAACAAAACACACAGATATTAGACTGTACATTTTATTATAGATGCCACAATTTCTTCAATGAAAAATAAGTAGCAATTTTCCCACTTCAGTATGCTTACTCACAGATCAGAAGAAATGGGGAGTAAGAGGAGAAAATACAACAAAGCACAAGATTTATTTTAAAATATTTAATAGCAGGTTGTTGGTAGCAAGTATTGCAGCTGGTAGTCAATACTTTCAGATTTATCATTTAAAAAAAAAAACCACATTTATTACGATTTTTCTTAACCTCATTATCTGAGGATTACAAAAATCAAAATTGTCTATACTGTATTAAAAATCAAAAGGGAAAAAGAAACATCAACAGAACTATGAAACAAGCATTTAAATGAAATTAAGAATTATGGTGAAAATAACTATTTAACAAGAAATAAAGACCTCAGATCTAGCCACAAAAGACAAGAAGATTCAAAATTCATATATTTAATTCAGACTATTATATTTTATCCCCTTTTCTGTTTGTACACTAATGTGAGTTAAGTTTGGGTCTCAGTCAAGATTTTCGGTATGTCGTCTGTTTTTTCTACCCTCCAAGATCTAACAAGGGCCCAAGTTAAATTCTTTTAGTGGAAAAACAATTTTTTTTAACTTTGAATTTAATAATCATTTAGTGAAGAACAATCGCTGCAACTAAATTTATCGAACTGGAACAAGACAGTCAACCTTGTTCAGAAGTGTCCCCTGTCACCAGTGATTTATCAATAGATCAACGATTCCCAGACTCTTCTGGCAGCTGTACCAATTCACCAGACTAAGACCTCAGCTGTACCAGTCAGAATCCTCTCCTCTTGCTCTGTAACCTCTCTTCCTTGCTTCTTTAGTGATAAAGATACAACCTTTGAGCTCAGTCTTTCTAAGTGTTGCAGGCACTGGCCCTGATCTGAACCACTTAAGCATGGGATTGAGTGCTTTGTTCAATAAGGGTCAGAAAGCTGGTCACTGTACAGGATCCAGTGTTCTGCATTAAGCTTTCTGGTTCTTCAAGCTCCAAATCCTGCAAACACTTAAATGCATTTGACTTTAAGCATGTGAATAATTGCACTGAAGTCAATTCAACTACTCACATACTCAAAAGTTGTGCATAAGTGTTTGTGGGATTAGTCTAATTTTGCCCTCACAATTACATGGACATAGACAACTGGGGACTTCAGGGAGAAGGGGAGGGGGGCTTTAGCCCACAGGCCTCTCCCCAGAAAAATTTTAGGGACTCCGTTGATAAAGGAAACACTGAGTTTGGAACAGAAGCTAGTTTATCTCACTTTATTAATAGTGGGCAAATTTAGTTCCTACTAAACTACTCATTGAAGTGATAGTCAACTGCTATTATTTTATTATGTTTTAACTCTAGCCTCCACTCCCAAATAAATAAAAAAATTGTCAATGGCTCTGAATTAAACTAGAGGAACTCAAAAATCCAGCAACACATCAGACAGTGCAAAGACATTATTTAGTGCAGCACCAGTTGCACTGTACATAAGCTAGAATGAATGAGACGGCAGCAGTAACATACTGAAGCTCACCAAAAAAGCTGAGCTTAGTACATCGCTGATTTTAAATTTCATTCTCTATAATTCAGTATTTTGTGATATTACTCCTTCATTCAGAAAATGTCTTCACAAACATGTTCATCTGAGTAAAATCTTCAAGAGTTTTCTGTCTTTTTGGTATCTCACTTTTAATGCCTGCATTCTCAGACAGCGTTAATAAAATTTGATTTTCTAACTCTTGGATTAAATAAATAGGGCATACTCAATGTGCTTCTATTAAAAAAAAAAAAACCACATATAAAATGCTCTTCCTTTGCATGAGCATTGGGCCCAACATGACTTGACAATGATTAAGATTTAAGATTAAGCTGGCTGGTAATTTTGGGTGTCCCATTTTCAGAAAGTGATGAGCAAAAATCAAGACACCTTAAAAGCATCTCATATTGGCACCTAAAATTTGAGGCATCCCAAATCATTATGCACTTCTGAAAATCTTAGCCAGAATCTTCTTTATTTTTTGTAAAAACAAGCTTTTATTAATCAAATTTAAATATTTTACATTCGATTATTTGAAACGTTACCACAATATTTAAGTGGTTGCAAACGGAAATATCACAGCCTTTTTTTTACTTGTGCATGAGAACCAGACATTAAAAATATGACTATAAAGGAAAGTGAAATTGAATATTGTATTTTCATTGTCCCAAATGAGAGAAACATGTACAGTAAAAACAGCATAATGAAGAGCTCTATTTTTAAAACTCAATATGCCATTATTTGTAACTGAGGTGAGAAAATCTGATTTTTTTAAATATGACAACTTGAAAGGGTCTCATTGTGAGATGATCACCTGGAAAACAATTTCCATTAAAACTAACAAGAGTTATGCACATTCACTAAGGGGCATATAAAGACCTACCCATAAGGCTATATAATTCTGATCCTATCCCTAACCAGCTGATGCAACTATTCTCTTCTGGGAATGTGCAATCAAAAGTCTTTTCCAAGTCCGTTCCCCTTCCCCCCAGTTACGTCTAAATAATGTGAAATCTGCCCAGTCCCAGTAAAGTTTTAGGTCTGAAATGCTGCAGCAAGACTTGTGTCAGTGCTTATATCATCCATCTCAATCTTCAAAAGTGCAAAGGTGAGCAGCAAGTATACCTAATTATCTACAGTATATAGGTATAAGAAGAAAGACACATTAGTTGATGCTTTATGAGCCTGATACCGCTAAAACTTACTACTACATATAGTACTAACTTGTGCAATTAATTTCATAAAGTCAAGTGATTGAAAGCACTACGTCCAGCAATAAGCTTTAGAGAACTGCTGTGCAAACGTCATCAATGAAAGAAGTAAACAATTGTGCAGTTTAAAAACGTGACTGATACAAAAACTCAACCAATTAATTTTTTTTAAAATGCAGTTTGTATGTGTGAATGTAAATGAGATAACGAATGCTTTATCATCAAGTACTTGCCTTTATTTCTGGGGACCTAACCAAGGTTTTATCATCTTCCATAAACTGATGTAATAAAATACAGATGCAGAAGGTGAAATTCTGGGAGAATTATATTACAGTGCCCAACATATTAGTTCTAGTACCACAATAGAAGGCAGTGTTTCTGGAAACAACTGTGAAAAACATTTGTATCAACACCATCCATAGTTTTTGGATTGTATTATTAATACATGAACATGAGATATGTAATTGGTGCATTAAATAAAATTATTACTATAACTTACTTGGTTCAGTCCTAGAAACATGTTTCTGAAGAAAGTCAACTATCTGAGCCAAAACCTTCTTGTTGCAATGTGTTGACAGCTCTTCATCACATTCATAACACCTAAACAAACAAAGAGAAATAGACTGGAATTCAGGAGAACCAGGTTCACTTCCCAGATCTGACAGACTTCCTGTGTGCTTGGGCAAGTCACTTAGGGCCACATCCACAAAGGGACTTAAGCACCTAATTTTCAGTTTTAGGAACCACTGACATCCACAAAACCCCTGTATGGCTGCCACCAAACCATGTAGGTGTCTAAACTCACTTGGTGCCTAAATTTTCTCTGTAAAGGTACCTTAGGTGCCTAAGTTTCTGCCCCTGTGCATGCTCAATGCTGTTTCACTGTAGGCATCCAGACGCCTAAGTTCCACCACTATCCACAAACCAGGAAAAGATAAGCATTCCTCTGCCTATCTTGCCTATGTGGACTGATCCATTAGGTGTCCACAGAGTTCCCCTGCTTCTCAGGCCGTGGCTACACTCGAAACTTCAAAGCGCTGCTGCAGGAGAGCTCTCGCGGCAGCGCTTTGAAGTGCGAGTGTGGTTGAGCACCAGCACTGGGAGAGAGCTCTTCCAGCGCTGTAGGTACTCCACCTCCACGAGGGGATTAGCTTACAGCACTGGGAGCGCGGCACCCAGCGCTGGGGCATTGTTTACACTGGCGCTTTACAGCGCTGTAACTTGCTGCGCGGAGGGGGGTGTTTTTTCACACCCCTGAGCGAGAAAGTTGCAGCGCTGTAAAGTGCCAGTGTAGCCATAGCCTCAGGCAAATGCCCTACCCACTGGACTATAGAATATTCTGATATGGGTCTCTCTCAATTTCTTTTATTTAATTCAAGTAGAACAGAATCAACAAATGAATAATTAAATATTGATTGGGCATAAATAATAAATAAAATAAATCATGCAAATATATACTAAGGGTTTTACATTTTTACAAACAATATATATGTAACAGGGCTTTGCTGTACACATACAGTATACAAAAAAGGTAGTTTTGCAGAAGGATTAGTAAAATCGAAAAAAACTCAGTCCAGACTTCCATTTACCTTGCTTTTCTGTCCAAACTTAAAAAATGAAGGAAAAAAAATAATTTTGGGTTGATTTTACCTTCTTTAAATTCTACTACAGTGAACTGCTCATGCAAAACTCCGTTACTAGTAGCTTTATATTTAAACTCAAGGGAGAAAAAGTGTTCCTGATTTTTTAATATGAAAAGGCTATATCCATAAATCTTAGGTCAGAGGTTTTCATTTTTTCCATTATGTGAACCACACTGTTGTGGCAAAATAGTCTAATGCACTATTTTTCTCTCCCTCTCATTTGTGATCACATAACATACATGGGACCGCCAAAGCAATTACTTATGTAGACAATTTATATTATGAAATTAATTTATTTTTTGTTTCTTTTAATTTTATCTTTTTTTACAGTGCAAATATTTGTAATAAAAAATTATTAAGTGAGCACTCTAAACTTTGTATTCTGCATTGTAATTGAAATCAATATATTTGAAAATGTAGAAAGTTATCCAAAATATCTATAATAAATTTAAATTGGTATTCTATTCTTGTTTAATAACTGCGATTAATCACAATTAATTTTTTTAATCGACTTAATTTGTTTTGAGTTAATTGCTTGAGTTAACTGTGATTCATTGATAGCTCCAGTAGAAACATTACTGGCACTAAGCTTGAGCTATTCTGTGCTGAAGATGTGTGCAGAGGACAGAGGGAAAATGGGCACTAAGGCTTACTGCCTACTGGGAAGAGGTCTTTTTTTCAGTAGTTTGTGGGAAGCCATGGAGGAGACAAAGGAAGTGGGATAGGTCTCATTCATGTGAGCAGCGAGACTGGAGTGGAGTTTATTTAGCTTTTGACAAAGACAGCACTTTATTTAAGTTAAAAGTAGGGCTGTCAAGCGATTAAAAAAATTAATCGTGATTAATCGCACTGTTAAACAATACTAGAATACCATTTATTTAAATATTTTTGGGTCTTTTCTACATTTTAAAATATATTGATTTCAATTACAGCACAGAATACACCGTGTACAGTGCTCACTTTATATTTATTTTTTATTACAAGTATTTGCACTGTAAAAAAACAAAATAGTATTTTTCAATTCACCTAATAGAAGTACTGTAGTGCAATCTCTTTATCATGAAAGTTGAACTTACAAATGTAGACTTACGTACAAAAAAAGCTGCCTTCAAGAATAAAACAATGTAAAATTTTAGAGCCTGTAAGTCCACTCAGTCCTACTTCTTGTTCAGCCAATAGCTCAGACAAACAAGTTTGTTTACAGTTGCAGGAGATAATGCTGCCTGCCTCTTGTTTACAATGTCATCTGAAAGTGAGAACAGGTGTTTGCATGGCACTCTTGTAGCCAGCATCACAAGATAATTTACATGCAAGATGCGCTAAGGATTCATTTGTCTCTTCATGCTTCAATCACTATTCCAGGGGACATTCATCCATACTGATGACGGGTTCTGCTCGATAACAATCCAAAGCAGTGTAGACCGACGCATGTTCATTTTCATCATCTGAGTCAGATGCCACCAGCAGAAGGCTGATTTTCTTTTTTGGTGCTTCGGGTTCTATAGTTTCTGCATCCAAGTGTTGCTCTTTTAAGACTTCTGAAAGCATGCTCCACACCTCGTCCCTCTCAGATTTTGGAAGGCACTTCAGATTCTTAAACCTTGGGTCGAGTGCTGTAGTTATCTTTAGAAATCTCACATTGGGACCTTCTTTGTGTTTTGTCAAATTTGCAGTGAAAGTGTTCTTAAAATGAACAACATGTGCTGGGTCATCATCCGAGACTGCTATAACATGAAATATATGGCAGAATGTGGGTAAAACAGACAGGGTACACATAAAATTCTCCCCCAAGGAGTTCAGTCACAAATTTAATTAACACTTTTTTTAAACGAGCGTCATCAGCATGTACTCTGGAATGGTGGCCGAAGCATGGAGGGGCATATGAACATTCAGCATATCTGGCACATGTCTGTTCTCACTTTCTGGTGACATTGTAAATAAGAAGAGGGCAGCATTATCTCCTGTAAATGTAAACAAACTTGTTTGTTTTAGCGATTGTCTGAACAAAAAGTAGGACTGAGTGGACTTGTAGGCTCTGAAGTTTTACATTATTTTGTTTTTGAGTGTAGTTATGTAACAATAAAAATTTACATTTGTAAGTTGCACTTTCAGGACAAAGAGATTGCACTGCAGTACTTATATGAGGTGAATTGAAAAATACTATTTCTTGTGTTTATCATTTTTACAGTGCAAATATGTGTAATTAAAATAATATGCACTTTGATTTCAATTACAACACAGAATACAATATATGTGAAAATGTAGAAAAACATCCAAAATATTTAATAAATTTCAATTGGTCTTCTGTTGTTTAACAGTGCAATTAAAACTGTGATTAATTACAATTTATTTTTTTAATTGCGATTGATTTTTTTGAGTTATCACATGTGTTAACTGCGATTAACCGACTGCCCTAGTTTAAAAAAAAAAAAGAGAGTCTTTTTAATATTGTGTGTGTGTCTCTCTCTCTCTCTCTCTCTCTCTCTCTCTCTCTCTATATATATATATAGAGAGAGAGAGAGAGAGAGAGACACACACACATACACTCTACACGAATACTCCTATACACAATCTTACCATATGATCCATGTGCTGAGATTTATTACAATGCAATGAGGTTCTGTGCGAGCAGTTTGGAAATGTTTCAGAGAATGCTGGCCTTCTGAGTTTTGACTACAACCCTGAAAATGAGATCATTAAGAAAAGGTTATACATATTATGTATATTATATTTCAACAAATCACTACAATATTTTACTTTACAAAACAGAACTGAAGATCATTTTCTTGAAAAAGAGGTAAAATCATCTAGAACTCCAAAAAGCAGGATTCTTATTGATTCACTTTACTAGTGCTTGCTCGCAGGAATGGAGTTTGTATGCTAGAGAATTTCCTGCAGGAGAGCATAAATTTTTTCTTAGGAAAACATTGTTAAAGCACTCATGTGAGAAGTGCATATCTGTACATATATATACACCTCTACCTCGATATAACACTGTCCTCGGGAGCCAAAAAATCTTACCGTGTTATCGGTGAAACCGCGTTATATCGAATTTGCTTTGATCTGCCGGAGTGCGCAGCCCCGCCCCCCCTGAACACTGCTTTACCGCGTTATATCAGAATTTGTGTTATATCGGGTCGCGTTATATCGAGGTAGAGGTGTGTATATGCACACACACACACAAATGGAATTTCATGAGTAAGAATATACTTTTTATCTAAAGGGACACTGTCGACTTCAAATCCCGTAATTAAAAAAAAAATTATAATTAAAACTAGTTTCAGGCACTATACCAACCCTAAAAGCATTAAACTGTTTTACAATTGTATTTTCCTATATTTAGAGTCTCTCCCCTGTTGCTGCATGAGAGTTACACAGTGACAACAGAGAGAACAGTGAAACTGACTACACAAAGAGAGCTGCCCGAATGCACAAAAAGAACGTAAAAGAAATATAGAGAAAATTATTTTTCTTTAATCTTTCAATTATAATGATCTTGGGCATTACTTGTAACAATGTAAATATAGGTAGAAGTGTGATTTTTTTAAGAACACCCTGTATCTGTCAGAGATCCATAAGTTGTGCTATGCCAACAACCTTTATACAGTGTTTCTGGGGGTGTAACCTTCTTAGTGTTAAGCCCTGAGCCTCCGCTTTTTACAAGGGGGAGCCCCATGCCTGCTATACATACTTCAGCAACTATTTCTCACCATGCTCCTGGCAGCTCTACCTCTTTGTCTTGCCCAAATGTCCAGGACTAAGGTCAGGTCTACACTACAGACTTTTATCAGTATAACTACGTCACTCAGGGGTGGGAAAAAACCCACTCTCTTGAGCTACATTGTTATACTGACCTAAACCCTGGTGTAGACAGCGTAATGTTGGCAGGAGAGCTTCTTCTGTTGACACAGCTACCACCTCTTGTGGAGGTGAATTAACTACACCACTGGAAGAAACTCTCCCATCGGCATAGGAATGTCTTCACTTAAGCACCGCAGCTGCGCCGATGCAGTGCGTTTAATGTAGACCTGCCCTGAACCTCGCAGCACTGGGCAGCAGCATTCTGACTGCCAACTCCTAACACCTGAGTTATTTGTATCCAACTCCTGTCACGGCATTTTCACATGTCCTGCCCCCTTTGACTGGAGTCATTTCAAGTTTGTGTCCAACTGTTGACCTTCCATTGTATCTGTAAGGTAGCTTCATTCACACATTGACAGTTCTCGATAAGACTATTCATACCAATTTGCCTACATCACTTTCACCTAGTTCCCGCATTGCTTATCCTCTATTTCAGGAAAGAAATCAACCCCTTCACACCCCATGGGTAACAATACAAAAGTGAGTGGAGAAACTGAGTCATACATACTTTTCAAAAAATAATACAGGAATTTCCCCCCGTTCTCAATGATTTTAGGGCCAGAAAGGATCATAGTGATCACATAGTCCCACCTCCAGTATAACACAGGCAATAGGACTTCTCTGAATTAATTCCAGTTTAAACCAGAGCATATCTTTCAGAAAAACATTCAATCTTGATTTAAACATTTTCATTGATAGAGAATGTCCCAGGGGAGGGATAGCTCAGTGGTTTGAGCATTGGCCTGCTAAACCCAGGGTTGTGAGTTCAATCCTTGAGGGGGCCACTTAGGGAGTTGGGCAAAAAATCAGTACTTGGTCCTGCTAGTGAAGGCAGGGGGCTGGACTCGATGACCTTTCAAGGTCCCTTCCAGTTCTAGGAGACAGGATATCTCCATTAATTTATTTATTTATTTTTATTATCCACCACAGCCAATGGTGAGGTGTTCCAGTAGTTAATTGCCCTCACTGCTAAAAACATATGCCTTATTGCCAGTCTGAATTTGTCTACTTTCCCTGCATCAAGCTCTTTCTCTGAATCAGGTAAAGCAGGGACTTGACCTGGGACATGGGAGAGACAGGTTGAGTCCCCTAATCGCCAGGCTATTGGCTTTTCTGGGGGGAGGGTCTTGCTCTAGTTTTTCACAATAAACGTCAAAAGGTCTCAGTTTCATCCCAATACAGAGCAGGAAAAAGTTGTGAAATCTTTAAAATATACATGGGACAAAACATTTTTTCCTGCCCAACTGTACTCACTATTACAAGCACTCCAAAATTTAGTTCTCTCTTGAAACGTTACTCACCTATGACTAGAATTCATTGAGTAGATTGTCAGTACAGAGCAACACTCTTAGGAAGCCCCAGAGCAGTTCACTAAAGGCCAAACCTCTCTGGAAAGCTTTGATCATAGGGTGCCAAGTAGACTTCTCCTGTAGCCATGGAATGCTCAATGAGAAGTTATACAAGGATGGATGGCCGCCAATATACCCTCAATTCCTTCCATTTCCCAAGAATTCAGAGTAGACTCTGGAAAGTGAGGATAAGTTTGGGAGAACATGCATCTGTACTGACAAGCTACTCCGTTACAGTGGAATAACTTCTCCTTTAGTACTGTCATTCAGTACAGATCTCCACTCTTGGGAGAGTAATAAGCAGTAATAACCGTCTAAAGAGATGGGATTAAGGAGATGAATTGAACAGTGACTGTTGTTTTCCTTTCTGAACTGCAATATCAGATTTAGAGGCCAGATCAAGAGTAATGTTATATAAACACATGGATTGGGCTCCTGGTAACAGTTCTACATATTTTAACAATAGGAATGTTATGGATATAAGTAATGGAGTCCTCCTTAGACCTTGTCAATTGTGTCCCAATATCTGCTAACTAATAGTATGTTTTATAACTAAGGATACAATTTAGTCACGGAGGTTACGGATTCCTTGACTTTACCAGACCTCCATGACTTCGGCTTCAGCTGTCAGAGGCAGGGACTGAGCCAGGACTGTGCGCCCCCTGCCCTCCCGCGGCTGCGGCAGGACCCAGAGCTGTGCGCTCCCCTGCCCTCTGCAGCTTCAGCTGGAGCTAGGGCCGGAGCCGCTGCTGTGAAAGACAGCCCCTGCGCCCCGAGCAACACAAGTTACAGTGACCTAAGCGCTATTCACAGTGGCGCTATGTTGGCAGGAGACACTCTCCCGTCAGCATAGAGTGTCTTCACCAAATGCACTGCAGCTGCACCATCGTACTGCTTCTAGGCTAGACCTGCCCATAGTCTGCCTGGAAAACAATAAGGACTTCCTCCATAAGAAAGGATGAGGCATGAGACAAGCATTTGTTAAATCTAAGTTTTGGGTTAGATCGGTCATCATTCAGGAAGGGCAGTTCCTGGCACTGAAGAGTCAACACAAGGGGGGGCAGGGGGGCCAACAATATACACAGTTAGCAAGTTCATAAATTCCAAGGCCAGAAGGAACCACTGTGATCATCTAGTCTGACCGCCTGAATAACACAGGACATAGAATTTTGCCGAAATAATTCCTAGAGCATATATTTTAAAAGAACATCCAATCTTGATTTTAACATTCTCCATGATGGAAAATCCACCACGACCCTTGGTAAATGGTTCCAATGGTTAATTACTCTCACTGTTAAAAATTATTTCTAGTCTCAAAGTCAAGAGACCAGAGGGAGTTCTGAACTGCTGTTCCGCTGTCTAGAAAGAACAGTGGGTGTACCACGGGTAGGGTGGCATGCACACATCCTTGTATAGACTTGCATGGAAAGTTTGTATAGCTCGAAGAGAAATCAACACCGTCCCCAAGAGTCAGAGCTTTCCAGAGGTTTCAAACTCTAGTGCAGTGCAGAGGCTTATCCCAAAAGCAGGGATCTGTGGTGATAATACTTCCCCTTTGGGCAGAATCCAATTGCTCCTGCCCAGAGTTCCACTGAAGCCAGTGAGACTCCATGCAGAAATAAAATCTGCACTTGCAACTCCTTTCAGAGGATCAGGGTCTATATCTGTCCATAAATTTACAGTGCAAGTTTCTTTACCTGAGAGCCACATTTGAGGCACAGCCATATGTCAGAAGGAATCACTGGGTTGCCATCATTTATTCGCCTTTCTTTTAAACATTCTGAACATATTGACCAAACATTCTGAGCTACTGCCCTCTTCACATGATGCACATCCACTGCTTGGCTTACATGTTGGCAGGTTAAACCTATAGAATAAGAGGCACTCAGTCATTAGCCACAAAACTAAATATGAAACAGGAAATGTTCACTTCTTTTACAAAAGCCAGATTCAGTCTTCGAAGTGCATTTACAAGGATTCAAGTCGTCTTTTTTTTTTTTTTTTTTTTTTAAAGTGCTGTAATAACACATCACATTCCATTTTATGCTAATCGGGTGGCACTCATTACTGTAAAAAATATGTTTAATACTTGGGAGGTATAGTGAGCTTGCACACCATGCTTATTCAAGTTACAACTTAAGGGCTTTCAGATACAGCACTTCTTTCCAGAACCCTGCTCCAGCACAAAAGCTGATTATAGAGATTACTTTGAAGGTAACTATCAAAACTGACTGATCTAAATTGTAGCCTACCCTCAACTTGTTTAACAAAATTTTGTAATTGTAAAACATATTAGTTGTCTACTATTTACATAAATTACACCTTACAAAGTCACTATCTAGCTATATCTATATAGTTTTTAAAGGCAGGACATATTAGCTCCAAGGACACGATAGTGTCCATTTTCTGATGCATCTGAAGGATTTTATTTCCATCTTTTTTAAAAGTACTACTTTTCCTACCAAATAGAACACCCAAAAGCTACAAGCTGGTGACACAACCCAACAAATCCAAGATAAACCAAAGGACAAAATTATTAAACATTCATTTTCCTACTTTTTGTCAACACTGTTAACATTACTGAAATGTGTGTGTGTGTGTGTGTGTGTGAGACAGAGACAATTAATATAGGTAGTTTGGACAACTTTTCCTACCCTTAAGGAAGGCCTTCCCTGTGTTTCAACTACATCACTGTCCTTACACCTGCCTCCTTAAAATGTTAATGTGGCCAAACTATCCTCCTGTTCATTAATTTTTGCACCAATTCCCTGAGTGCAATGTAATGACAATTCATCACGCCATAGATGTTTGATTGTAAGCATCTCTGTTGCTGCATTCAACCAACACGCAGTTCACGGTTCCCACATGTGTCTTCTGCTTTGTTGACTAATGAAAACCATATGGACACTGTTTTCCCTCCCTCACTCTGATTGCCAAATGTCACATAATTTATTTACCTGCAATGTCATCTGAAGAGTCTTCATCCTGAGGCCTATTAGGCCTTTTGTTTCTCTTGTTTTTTTCAGGGTTAGCCCTCGATGGATCTTTTACCCGCATCTGTTACTTACTGGGAAAGGAAGGGAAAAACACACATTACTTCACCTCCTATATATTTCATCAAATCTAAGGATTTATATTCTCAAAGCATGAAAGTAGCAAATCAAGTACTCAGAAAAACCACAGTCCACAAAATACATATTTTATATAATAGATAAGCTTTCATCCAACTTCAGCTATTTTGTAGTGAGGAATACACACCGAGCAGTGTTGTTAGATAAGCTACTGCAACATGTAGAAACAAGAGGTAGCTGATTTCACAAATTGGAAAATTTGTGATTTAGCTGGTAGTGTTACATATTGTTAGTCATAAAAAGACAAGATGCTATAGTGCATCCATCATAGTTTACCACAGCCGTTTTGTTAAAGTGAGAAATATCTCCTTTTTCAAACACCAAATTGTCCATTTTGCACTTTTTATAAAAACGGTACAATATTTATAGTCCATCTATTCCTTATCTTAAAATCAGAAGAATAAATGTACACCTCTACCTCGATATAACGCTGTCCTCGGGAGCCAAAAAATCTTACCGCATTATAGGTGAAACCGCGTTATATCAAACTTGTTTTGATCTGCCGGAGTGCGCAGCCCCCGCCCCCCGGAGCACTGCTTTACTGCGTTATATCGGAATTCATGTTATATCGGGGTAGAGGTGTATTTGATATAGTATTTGATAAAAACCTACCCATCTTAATTTAGACATCTTTAAGTCAAAATCAGGTAGTCCTTTACATCCTATTTTGAAAAACACTGGTGTCCATCTTCATAATATGATACTCCCTTTCCTGTTTTACTTGCTTTGGTGAGCTGTGAAATAGTTAACAATGTTGATATTTAAAGATATCCTCACAGACATCCAAGTTAGTACTCACTGAAATTTATGGGGCACTTCACATCTCAGAGCTATTGGTTCAGGCTCTCTGCATACCCAAGCAAACATCTCTGCATCAGTCACACTCACTTCATGCTTTGATGGCTTTCTTCAGAACCACAGCCAGTAGAGTTTTTTTTTAAGTAAAAGGCTGAGACTCTGGAGTATAACTCAGGCCTGGTCTGCCCTACAAAGTTATGTCAACCTAAGGCCTGGTCTACACCTAAAATTTAGATTGAGCTAGCTACATCGCTCAGGACTGTGAAAAACGTCTACAGTTAGGTTGACCCAACCCCCCCTGCAGATGCAGCTAGATCGACAGATGAATTCTATCTCTACTAAGGGGGTGGATTTACTACAGCAATGTGAAAGCAACTTCTGTTGCTATAAGTATCTATACTACAGCAGCACAGCTGCAACATTGATGCTGTGCCACTGCAGCACATGTACTGTAGACATACCCTAAGTCGACCTGTTTCAACCTACCTGTGCACGTGTCTACATCCAAATTTGTTTCCTGCTGACGTAAGCACCCCATTACAGTGATTCATTAAGACCACTTTCCCCAACACAGAGGCATGGTCGACTTACTTTTGTCCATGCAGCATGAGAGCAGACGCTGCATTACCTGTGTCAACCCTAACAGTCATCCAGTTGTTGTTCCACAATACCCCTGTTTTGCACCAGTGGTTGCTCTAATCACAATTTTGAACTCCACCTCCAGGGGGGTCACATACACCGGATACTTCCTCCCTCCCCAACTCTAACACCTGCACTGTGTTTTTGAAATGCCCTTTTCTGATTGCCCACATTGGTGAGAGCGCCTATGAGCCCAATTTTGTGAGCATCCAACCATGCTGGGCTCCATGCACACAGATAGCTACTAGACATGCTCCTGTGTGGAGCAGGAAAGAAGTCGTGGGTCTCCTTGGCCTATGGGGAGAAGAAATTATGCAAATCCAGCTAAGCAACAGCCAAAGAAATACAGACATCTGTGTGCAGATTGCACAGGGGATACTGAACCAGGGTCATGACAGTGATGAGCATGAGTGCCTCCTGAAAGCAGAGGAACGTCAGCAGGCATATCGGAAGACGAGGGATGCCAACACCAAATCTGGGGCTGTCCTGCAGACCCATTGCTTCTACAATGAACCATATGCCATATTTGGCATGGACCCCAGCAGTATCCAACATACAACTGTGGATATGTTGCAAGAGTCTAACATGGAGACCACTTCAGGTACAAGGAGGAGGAGGAACGGGAGGGAGAAGCAAACCATATAAGAAGCCAGGAGTTATCTGAAACTCTGCTATAGTCAAATCAGTCCCTCCTGGGAAGTGCACATGAGCCTGGTGATAAACAGTAAGGGAGCTCAGGTGAGTGTACATATCCATTATTCCTCTTATAAGCATTTTTAACTTTTTATTGCTCAAAACTTCTTCCCTCCCATCCACTCCTCCTTCCTTAGTCCCCATTTAAGAATGGTGCCCATCCTATCCCCACCTTTACAGAACAAGGGCATTGTTTTTTGATTGCTCACTTCACTTATAAAATGTTGAAAAATAAATTCAAAAAAATTAGTACAACAGTCTGAATTACACAGTCTTTGGCCTGGTCTACACTTAAAAATTAGATCGACCTAACTATGTCACTCAGATCATTACAGTTAGTTTGACCTCACACCCAACACAGACTTGGCTATGTCCCCTACTCTATTTGCACTACATTGATGACATCTTCATCATCATCTGGACCCATGGAAAAGAAGCCCTTGAGGAATTCCACCATGATTTCAACAATTTCCATCTCACCATCCACCTCAGCCTGGACCAGTCCACACAAGAGATCCACTTCCTGGACACTACAGTGCTAATAAGCGATGGTCACATAAACAACACCCTATACCAGAAACCTACTGACTGCTATATTTACCTACCTGCCTCCAGCTTTCATCCAGACCACACCACATGATCCATTGTCTACAGCCAAGCTCTAAGATACAACCACATTTGCTCCAACCCCTCAGACAGAGACAAACACCTACAAGATCTCTATCAAGCGTTCTTACAACTACAATACCCACCTGCTGAAGTGAAGAAACAGATTGACAGAGCCAGAAGAGTACCCAGAAGTCACCTACTACAGGACAGGCCAACAAAGAAAGTAACAGAACGCCACTAGCCGTCACCTTCAGTCCCCAACTAAAACCTCTCCAGCGCATCATCAAGGATCTACAAGCTATCCTGAAGGACGATCCCTCACACTCAGATCTTGGGAGATAGGCCAGTCCTCACTTACAAACAGCCCCCCAACCTGAAGCAAATACTCACCAGCAACCACGCACCACACAACAAAAAACACTAACCCAGGAACCTATCCTTGCAACAAAGCCCGTTGCCAACTCTGTCCACATATCTATTCAGGGGATACTATCATAGGACCTAATCACATCAGCCACACTATTAGAGGCTCGTTCACCTGCACATCTACCAATGTGATATATGCCATCATGTGCCAGCAATGCTCCTCTGCCATATACATTGGCCAGACCGGACAGTCTCTACGCAAAAGAATAAATGGACACAAATCAGATGTCAAGAATTATGACATTCAAAAACTAGTCAGAGAACACTTCAACCTCCCTGGTCACTCGATTACAGACCTAAAAGTCACAATTATTCAACAACAAAAACTTCAAAAACAGACTCTAATGAGAAACTGCAGAACTAGAATTAATTTGCAAACTGGACACCATTAAATTAGGCTTGAATAAAGACTGGGAGTGGATGAGTCATTACACAAACTAAAAACTATTTCCTCATGTTAATTTCCCCCCCTACTATTACTCATACCTTCTTGTCAACTGTTTGAAATGGGCCATCCTGATTATCACTACAAACGTTTTTTTTCTCCTGCTGATAATAGCCCACCTTAATCAATTAGTCTCATTAGAGTTGATATGGCAACAGCCATTTTCTCATGTTCTCTGTGTATATATCTTCCTACTGTATTTTCCACTGCATGCATCTGATGAAGTGGGCTTTAGCCCACGAAAGCTTATGCTCAAATAAATTTTTTAGTCTCTAAGGTGCCACAAGTACTCCTCATACTTTTCACAAAGCAATCACTCTATGTCTGACCTATCTGTCCTCATCCTCAAATGAAACCTGCACAACACTTTCAAAAGATGAGCCCGGGATCTTAGATTCATAACTCTGCTAGACACTAAAAATCACGGACTGACCAGACACTGGATTTATGGATTATTATAACAATCTGTAACCCACTAATCCCTTCTTTTTGTCCTATGACTGCAGGTGTTAATTGGCCATTCTACCTTGAATGATACTATTAAACAATGGCAACTACTAAACAATCTCTTCCACCTTCAATTTAGCTCTGATGCTCAGAGTACCTTTCCCAGATCTGAAGAAGAGCTCTGTGTGGCTCGAAAGCCCTCACCAACAGAAGTAGGTCCAATAAAAGATATTACCTCATCCACCTTATCTCTTTAATATCCTGGGACCGACATGGCCACAACTACACTGCATATTTCACTACTGTGCATTTTAGATTATGTGTTTATCCCAAATTGATTTCTCTCTCTCTCTCCACAGGCACCATAAGCACCAACTGCTCCCTATCTAGCTGCCAAAAACTTCAACAACTATGATGCAGTTTTACATTGCCAATACTGTAAAGAAATCATTGCAACACACTGAAAAGGTGGAGACAGCATTGTGAAGAGAAACTGAATATAAAAACAAGTAACACAGGGCTACTGTACTGATTAAATGAAGCTCCTGCAGAACTTCCAGCACCAGGTTGCCACAGAAACCACAGGTCCTTGCCACAGAATTTAGGTACAGCTTGGCTCAGAGCAAATGGAGCCTTTATTATATAGCATCTAGAGACCAAGATGTTCTGTAGCTGTATTTGGAGGAGAGGCCCTAATGCATTTCTTCAAATCTGGCAAAGTACAAAAGGAATATATTCCTGTGGGCTGGTAGTGCCAAATCAACACATCTTCTGCAAGTATTGCAGAACTGCTGCACATTCTGATGTAAGCAGCAAGTAGAAATGTTTGGGTGACTTTTCATAGCTACCTGTGGCATTTTGGCTGGTTCATTGCTGGATCAAATGTTATCCAATCAGAACAAGAACAGCATTCATCATGGCTAGCAACTGGACAAGGTCATCAATCAGTAGTTCAGGACTTTCACTGCTGTGACAGCCATGAAAGCCTTTTGAGCAAACAAGTGCTCACTGACTGCTAGAGCAATAAAAGGACCAGAACTACTGACTGGTAGTGGCAGCAACACTTCTTTCATTGGAGCCTGTCATTTGAAATTCTGGTAGTGTCATATCCATGATCTTCTGGACCAAAGACACATCGCACACCATGATTTGAGCTCATAGTCCACTATTGACATTACATTACAGTCCTAGAAGAGTGACTGTATTCTGGACGAGAAGTTAAACAGACATGGCTGCCTATCTCTCACAGCTTTCCACATAACAGTTAAAGATTCGATAGCACTTTTCACTTTCATCTACCACTATTTGCCCATTCTCATGGTTTGCAACCTATGTGATTCTCCTCAATTCCTCACCCTGTTCTTTATTTTCTAATTTCTTATGTTTCACAGAAATCGGGTTCGCCTGCCCAGTGACAGTATTCACGAGCTATTTTTTGACTGAAATATAATATGCCAAAAGTTGCCAAAATCTTTGTTACTGAGTGTAGACAAGTATTTTTAGACTAATGGCTAGGGTATTTTATATCAGACTAACACCACTGTCAACATACAGTTTCACAAAGCAAAAGTAAATTAACCTACCTCTCACCCACCCACCCAAAAAAAGAAAAGGAAAACACTAAGCTAATAGAGGGTAAAACTAGTTCGCTGGATGTGTATTGTGGTCTAATTTGGATTTTGCTAGAATAGTCATAGAACATATAAACTCCTGAGATAACAGGGCAAGGGCATATCTTCACTAGCAACGGTAAAGCGCTTGCCGCGGCAGCGCTTTAACATGGCTGTGTAGTCGCGGATAGCGCTATAAAAAAAAAAACCCACCTCCATGAGGGGAATAGCTCTGGTGCACTGTCTACACTGGCACTTTACAGCACTAAAACTTGCAGCACTCTGGGGTGTGTTTTTCACACCCTTGAGCGAGAAAGTTGCAGCGCTGTAAAGTGCCAGTGTAGACAAACCCTTAGAATTGTGGTTGTGGAATTACTATTCTGTGACCCACAAGAGGTCGCACATCAAGCTGAAGGACTGAGAGCCAGAAATTCACGAATGCTAACATCTGCTATGACACTTGAACTCACTGTGTGGCCCTGAGCAAGTCATTTAACTAAACTACGGTTTTCCTATTTGTAGAGAGAATATTTACTATCATTAACTGATCCTTGTCAGGTAGGTAACGGAATCAGAAATGCGAAGTGCTATGAAAAGTCTATGTATTAGTGCTATTTCTCAGAAAGTCAAAGACTAGTTGCCGAGAGCGTAAGATTACATCCAATTTTCTTTTTTACATACAGGAATGCCCCAACTTGTTTTTATGACACATGTCAATCCCAGATCAAGGAAAACTTGTTCTGCTTTAGACATTACCAGCAAAACCCAAAAGACAGATGCTGTACTGCCATAGAACTCAAGGGGAAACAAATCTACAGAATACCAGTTTTACAATATTTCCTGAAGAAATCTGACAAAATATTTACAAATGGAGTAAATTACAGAGTAACTTCATAAGGCATATTGTGCAACTAGCCTAGCATATATGTGCCTCCACTTTAAGAGCTAAAAAGAGCTTTTTTTGAAGGACTGCATTTCAGCACTTCATGTGAAATTATATGATACTTGTAGAAAAGCTGAGCAATGCAATGGATACAGTTTAAACTGCTCATCCTTGCTAGTCAAATTATTTTGCACAAAATTACTTTAATTTTAGGAAGTTGCTTATTTGTGTCTATAGGTCACGTGAATCATGTTCATAGGTCTGATGTAGAGTTAATTGCAAGATAAAGTGGATGCTGCTCTAAAACCTGGAACCAAAATTAAAACAATTTTTGCTGAAAAACAGCATTTAGAGCTGCACTGGTGATTCTAATATACTAAGTATCAAACTAATTAACAGTCTCTTTGGATTTTCCTCCAATCACCACCATCAGCTCTCAGACTTCAAATATAAGATAAAAAATTCATGCACTTCAGGAATTTGTGTTAAGTGGTTTTAACAGGTTACAACAGGCATGCTGAACACTATTACTTAACCCTTCCCTCCCTCCCAGAAGAATGGCTCCAGAGCAATTCCATGGAGGCTGTGGGATCGCAAGCATGGCAAATGCTAGGATGTCAGAGAAGTGTGTGAATCAGCTCTGACAGCAATGGGCATCATGGACCATGAAAGAAAATCAATTTTTAAATAAGTGCATTGACTTTCTGTTAACCTGACTAACAAAGTGAATGGAATTTTCCTAGTTAAATCTGTAGTCCACATTTTAATCCAACAAATTGTGACACTAATGTTCCATTATTATTTGACAATTAACTGAGAAATTACTTCAAGGTCAAGTACATTTCCCCATTTTGCTATTTTTGTTGTACTGTATTTCTTAAATAACAAACCTCAATTAAGTCATCTTAGGCAATGTGAAAAAACAAAAACAAAACACAAACACACAGAAGTTACACTCTTCCAAATATTATTACAAATCAAAAGTGTTAAGACAAGAAACTGAGTTTCATAGGGCCTTTCTTAAAACACATCTAAGGTAAAAAATTTTCCACAGGGGACTGGGAAGGGTCCAAATTCTCACATCATGAAACCTACTTCTTCATCCTTCTCCCCACCCTACCAGTGCCAGTGTGGCAATGAGACAATACACAACAGCAGAATGATCAGTTAAAAGTAACAAGCAATTTGGTTTCTTTATGTGAAGAAAGTTTCCTGTAACTTCATTCCTGGGATTTGACATTTTTGAAGATGGGACCCTCCTTGGGACACAGAGCCATGTGAAAAACCCACACCCCTGAGAGAGACATAGCTGTACTGATCTAGAGCAGTGGTTCTCAAGCTTTTGTACTGGTGACCCCTTTCACATAGAAAGCCTCTGAGTGTGACCCCTCCTTATAAATTAAAAACACTTTTTATATATTTAACACCATTATAAATACTGGAGGCAAAGCGGGGCTCGGGGGTGGAGGCTGACAGCTCGCAACCCCCTCCCCCCACGTAAGAACCCTGTGACTCCCTGAGGGGTCCCGACCCCCAGTTTGAGAACCCCTGATCTAGAGGACAGAGCAGACAACGCTAGGTGGAGGGAAGCGGTCTCCCCACCTAGCTACCACCTCTCAGCGAGGTGGATTAACTACGCCCGAATGTCTGCACTGCAGTGCAAATGTGCAGCTGTAGCGTCTCTAGCGCAGCCATGTCACTGGTACAAACCCAGCCCAGTTTGGTAGCCAGACAAGTCACTATCTGATGGCGGTTCAGGTGAAATACCATGAACTACGTCTGATGGGCTCCAAGCACCCAGTGTGGCCAAGTGCCCAGCCCACAAAAGGCACCCCTGGGTCAGCCCCCGGCCCGAGCCCCAAGGGCTGAATAACTCGCCCTATTGCTCTAGAGCGGCAGGAGCCGGGCGGGTCGAGCAGGCCCCCGAAGGCACCCAGCACCTGGGCCCCAGCCCATGTGTGTGTAGGGGCAGGAGGGGGCCATGACGCCTGCGGGCCAGCAGGAGCAGCGGCCTGGGCGAGCCCCTGGCCCGGAGAACGCAGCCCGAGAGCCGGGCCCCGAGCCGGCCGCCTCCCTCTCGTGGCTTCCCCCCCGCAGGCGCCGCGCTGCGCTGCGCTCGGGTCGCAGCTACCCCCGGCGTGGCCCGGCCGCGGCCCCTCACTCACGGGCTTCTCCCCGACACGCAGGCAGCGGCGACGGCAGCAGAAAGCGGCGGAAGAAGCTGGGCCTCGGCCAGGGCCGCGCCTTCCCGTCCCGCCCCCGGCCGCGCCGCTCACACCCACCTTCCCTCCCCCCGGCTCGGGCAGATCCCCGGCCCCTGCGCCGCAGTGCGGGAGAGAAGCCGGGAGCTGCTGCCGGCCCAGGGGCAAGCCCAGTGCAGCGGCGGCAAAGAGCCCTTGGGCTCTTCTGTCCTGGGCACAACTGAGTGCAGGCCCCCCTCAAGCCAGGCGGTAGTGAGGCCCAGCCACATATAAAGCTATCCCTGAACCAGATAAAATCTCCCTGTGCAATGACACTTAGCCACATATAAACCTATCCCGGAGTCACGCTAAAGTCCCCCCATACAATTAGACTCAGCCACCTATTATTAACATGTCATCATAAAATCCCTCTGTTCAATGAGACCAAGGCAGTATAAACCTATTCCTGAATAAGGATAAAAAATTCCCCCACCCCTACATATTAACCTATCCTTGAATCACGATCTTCAGCAATGACCAAGCCACCTATTAACCTATCCCTGAACCACACCGAAGCCCTGGTGCTGCAAGGGGAACTCCTGAACCACACAGCAAAGCAGCACTGCTGCTGCAAGAGCACTTTTTTAGGCATCTCTCTCTGCTCCCAAATCCCTAAAGAGCAGCTGCAGCTCCCTGTGAACTTCTCCTGGCCTGGGTCTCCACAAGGCACTGCTACTCCTTCTGGTTCTCCTCCATTTAACCAGGCTTCAGTCCTTCCTGGCTGCGCAGAGGGGTGCCTGCATGTATTGCAAGAACCCAAGACCAACTCTTCTTAAAAACTCTTGAGTTTTCATCCTGCTTTTACCACTGATTTGCTGGGGGGCCTTGGGTAAACCCTCCTTACCACAAGTGCTAAGTCAACCCTGGCATAACTCTATTAATTAACGTCAATGGCATTACACCAGAGTTAGCCTCATGTCTTAGTTATGTCCGTCCTCTGGAAAATGGGGATAATACATAAGTAACTACTTCACATCGGTATTAAAAGGACCACACTTTTGAAGTAGGGTGAAGTCTGCTTACACCAGTGTTGAATTTGGCCGGGAAAGGACGATATTGTAAGGCCCCAATTTTGTAAGTCATTCTGTTTGGCTATGTCTACACTACGGACCGTACAGCGGCACAACTGCGCCGCTGTAAGGTCTCCTGTGTAGCCTAATTATGCTAGCAGGAGAGAGCTCTCCCACCGGCATAATTAAACTACCCCCAATGAGTGGCAGTAGCTATGCCAGCAGGAGATGCTTTCCAGCAGACATAGTGCTGTCCACACTGGCACTTTTGTCAGTGAAACTTGTCTGTCAGGGGTGTGTTTTTTCACACCCCTGACAAACAAAAGTTTTGCAGACAAAAGTAATAGTGTAGACAAAGCCTTCGTGAAGTCTCCTAAATGGAACAAATTGCAGGATCTGGGGCTTAGACTGTAAGCTTTTGTCTTTGTATGTGTTTGTACAGGGTTAGCACAACCTGGCCCTAATTCTGATTGAGGCCTTTAAGTGCTACTGTATTAGAAATATTAAATAATGGTAACAGTAAGTGCTAAGTGTTATGGGGGGGAGGGCTGCTCCCCTCTCCCATTGAGGAGACTAGCTGTGGCTTCATCTCCTCTGACTCTCTACCTTGAGCCCTTTGGAAAAGCTGCTAGTTCCATCAGTCCTATTTCTGCCAGTGTTTTGTTTATATATGGTCCTGTCGTTATCTGTAAAATGAAGACAATAAATGAATCAGTCAGAATATCTTTCATATGCATATGCAATCCATATCATAAATACTCTTTCATATTTTATTATTTTAAAATCTGAATTTTATCAGCATAGAATTGTACATTGTTTGGGTTATTTTACTAAAGGTATTTTTAACGAGGAATTATAGAAATATTTTATTCTTACCCATATCATGTTAAAGCCAAAAACACAGAAAACTGCAACCGATCTTTATATTTTTATTCCTTGCCTCTAAAAGACAAATTTGCAAATGTCTGTCAAAAAGGATGCCATATGGAAAGGCTAGCAGAAGGGCAACTAGTGAACCAGCTATATGTGCCAGTTTCAATTTGTCACACTTTTCATTTCTGGGAAATGCTTTATCCTTGTTTTGAGCATGAAAACTCTCATAAGGAACAAGTTAACAATACATTTCTCAAAAAACATCCTTTGTGAATGGAAAAGAAACAATATGCCTCTATATGCATAACTCCATGTATGGAGGGGAAAAGGCAAACACCCATAAAGTTATATTAAATTATTTAAAAGGATCGGTAATTTTAGCAATAATCCAACACTAGGATTCCCCAATAACAACATCATGGGTTACAAAAAACATACTGAAATATCTTGAAGCTACAGATGCATCAAAATCACCTTTTCCTTAATACAAGTAATTATAGAAAATGTTGGTTATATAAGCCCCAGTCCTGAAAAGATTTACACACACACTTAACTTTACACACTAGTACTCACATGCATAAAGTTAAGCACATGAATAAAGGCTTGCCATTAGAGAATTTGGGCCTTAGGTATGAAATACTGGTTTGAAACAGACATTGTTTAGATTGCCACTCCCTCCCCCACTCCAAATGGCAGCCTTATCTTTAAAGTGAATCCCTATAATACACCTCTACCCCGATATAACGCTGTCCTCAGGAGCCAAAAAATCTTACCATGTTATAGGTGAAACCGCGTTATATCGAACTTGCTTTGATCCACCGGAGCGCGCAGCCCTGCTTTACCGCGTTATATCCGAATTCATGTTATATCGGGTCGTGTTATATCGGGGTAGAGGTGTACAAGGCAGATAATAGACTAAAAATATTATTATTAGAGCACAACAAGTGGTAGACACATAAATGACATTATTTCTACCTGAGGAACATACAATCAAATTAAAATGCACACAGTCTTCAGACATAAATAGTAGTACAGATATTGACTGTGAGATAACCGCCAGAAGCCAGATACTGCCCTCAGTTACACCAGTACAATCCCACTTACATAAATAGTTGTAAATTTTCAGGGATAGCTTTTCTGAGTGCTAGGTTTGGTTCCTAAGTTACATTTACTTTTGTATTTATCAGATTTTTTAAAAATTACTATTTAAAGTATTTGATGCTTTTGGAGTATTTGAGACATTTGTGGAAGCTTCCTTTGCTTAATTATGTAGCAAAAACTGTACAGTATATGCTGACTCGCCTGAGACTGAAGACAGTGGTTGAGTTTGCAAATTTCATAAATAAACTTGATGGTGCTACATATGCAGTGATAAATCTTTTGTGTAATTCACCTACCTCGGCTGCTGAACTCAGATATCTGGGGTGAAAAATGTCCGTTGATTTCAATGAGTCTAGGATTTCACCCCTGATTTTCAGTCAGATCCTGCTTTTTACCTAATTTTACATACAGATTTCCTGGGAATAGGAGGTCAAGTGAAATTTGCCCAAGATCACACACAGAATGAGTAACTTAGACCTGTTACGCTTGTGTTTAACCACACAAGTAGTCTCATTAAGATTAATACACTACTCACACGTGTAAAGTTAAGCACATGTGCAAGTTTTTGTAGGATTAGTTTTAACAGATTTTGATCCTGAGAGCTTTGTAAAGATTTACCATGTTTAATTTTGCAGGATCAGGATCAAGGCCAGTCAGAAAAATTCTGCAATTTGGTGCATAGTTGGTAATAAGGGACTTTGATAATATTCTGTGATGGTCATTTATCAGTATAACTATTTTGATTTTCCTTGTTAATTTTCAAGTCATTCAAAATAACAGGTTTATGGAACTTTTCTGGGTTAGCAGGTATTAGAACTCTCCATAACAGCAAACACTGTAGCAGTTTACAGCAAGGACCCTATTTTTGTTGTATGTTTCTGCACAATGATGCTGCAGCTTCTGAGCACTACCACACTACAAATACATAATAATACTTAACAATTATTCCATGTGGGCTATAAAGAGGGTGGTATAGCTCCCTCTAAAGAGAGAATTAGAAAGTTGGCTGGGTACCTTACAGAAACAAATATATGTTCCCCGCCCCAAAAAGCTTACAATTGAATGCCCCAATCATATAACTGGATCTGTGTTGGTGGACCCTTGTGTCCACGCAGAGCCCTATTGAAACCAGTGAGACTTCCTGCAGGCACAAGACTTTTGTGCAGATCCAATCATAGGAAGATCAGGTACTAAGTTCAAATATGATACAAGTGGGAGTCCTAGATAGCTGAAAGGGAGATTGGTAGAAGAAAGACAAAGGTATGATAACATTGTTATTTAGCCATAAGTAATAATCACTATTAAGAAAAATTAGATGTAAATATATATATTAAATGTAGGAGGAGAGTGCTTTGTTAACCCAGTCTCTAATAAGTAGCATGTGACAGAATTACATCAATGAGAAAGAAAAAAAACCAGATGGTTCTAAACTTTTAGAGATGATTTTCTGGAGACATCCTAAATTGTGCCTGTCATTACTGGTAGTAATGGTGATTACTGTGATAGAAGTGAAACTGCTCTGTAATAATTTATGAACATTGTATATTGACCAGATTATGGGAATGTTTACTGTATGAATACGTTGGTTTAGTTTAATGGGGGGTTATCAGGAAAAACAAGCAGGAAGGAAAACAGTGGCTCAGGATAAGCCACTTCTCAGCAAACACTTAAGGGTGGATGAGAGACTGGAAAAGGGTGGATGAGAACTGGAAAAGGTCTGGGAACCAGAGGAACCAGAGGAACAAAAATAAAACAAAACCTGTGGCAGGGTTAAAAAGGTAGACCCTGTCAAAGAAGGGGTAGATGTTGGGGAGTTGTTTGGGGTAACTAGACTGATACATAGGACCGTCAGGGGTGTCTGGAGAAACTAGGCTTGCTTAGGTCACCATTACTAGATGGTAGGACTTTAGGTAAAATAGAAATGTGTAGACTGTCCTAAAATCCTTTTTCTCTAAGTGCTTTGTTCCCACTATTAAAGCAAACAATACTCTGGTTTTAAGACAGCTGTCTGGCCTCAG